CATCTTTTCTTGTTTTCTTTCGTTTTCGTTTTCTCTAAAGTTCTGAAGTTTCTTCACACAGTTCTGATTTTAGTGAAATCGCGTTCCCGGTCAAACCGAAAGGCCTAGTTCGGGACCAAACTGGTCCGTTACTACATCGAAAGCGACAGTGCAGATATCAAGTGTAAGACCATTGACAGAACAGAAGAACCATTAAAATATGCAAAAAAAACGTCGAAAACGGCAAAAGTAAAGTCCTCCTCTTTAGTTGTGGCAGAGCAAAAAAGCATTGATTCGTAGGTGGGTCAATCGTGATCGGAGCCAATGCCGCACCCTGGGGCTTTAACACTCGGCCCTGTCAAATCAAGCCCATATTTGTGCACTGCTCCGCGCTTGCCTACCACTGCATTTTTCTCGAAGAAAAGCACTTGATACGACCAGAAATCCCCGACCTTCCATTCAGTTGGCTGTGGACTACAAGTGCAAAGACGAAAACTCACTCCAACAACACTAGGTTTCTTCGGTGGCATCCTGTTCATTATTTCATCACGTGTTGGCCTTCCTGGATGAGCGACGTCATAACCAACAATAAGCGTCTTTCCTTTCGCAATCCACACATTTTCACTGAAAGTTAGCAAGCATAATCATACCTTACAAAGAGAAGGAGTAGGAGAGAACTCACGCAAACGACTCTGGTACAACCTCGTAGTTCATTCCTCCCAGTTTCAGATTAGTTTTCGAAACGAAGTTCAAGCAAGATTGCGGCTGTCTGTATATTATGTATATACACACATATTATCTTACATCGAGATTGAATGGATGACTGTGTGAGGCAGCGTAAAAGTGGAAGGGAGTGATGGGGAAGGGGGCCAGAAGGAGGAAGGGTATATGACCACTTTGAAGCTTTTTCAGAGGTTTCAACAGGCCTGATTACCTGCCACACTTTCTAATCTCTCTACCCCATCCATTGTGCTCCCAAAATTAGTTGCCAAAAGAGATCAAGTGGCTCCATCCGCGTGCCCACTGCGATTTACGGGGTGTCCCCCAAGAGGCCCACCGCGCGGCGAAGCAAGAGACGCAGATGCGGCAAAGGACGAGTCGCAGCGCGTGCTGTGCGATATGAGACGTAGTATGGTACACTCTATTTAACCTGACGCCTAACCGCTACAGTATGCGCTGCGACTCGTCCTTTGCCGCGTCTGCGTCTCTTCCTTCGCCGCGCGGTGGGCCTCTTGGGGGACACCCCGATTTACGCACTCAACCTACACAGTGCCCATTGTTCTAGGTACTTTTTCGTTCTACACATCCCAAAAAGAAACCCTAACTCAACTTTCTCACATTTTCTACATTATTTATATAGCTCCTTTCCGGTTAGGGATACTACATAGTAGATATGAATGACAATGGATGAAAGGCATTCTCTTCCCTTGGTAATAAAGTGCTATACTGCTGCCGACTGCTTCGCACTTCATTGGCACTAAACCTTCTGTCTCCATCGCCTCCCAAGCTCCTCCAAAAACGTGAGAATTCCTCCATCAGGTACAGCGTGCTGTCTCATCACTGCGTGGCAGCTCATACATAGTCGACGTCGATATTCAAAGTCAGATTAGGCGCGCTATGGATTTGACGTGGCCGTTGCCGCACTTGATAGAAGATGTAGGGATAGGTTGTTTCTTACCTACTCCGTTGGATGTCAGCAAAGCATGCCGGGAGCAACTTATCCGCGCAACTTCCATCAAGTGCGACGACCGCCACGTCAAACCCATAGACATGCCTAATCTTACTTTGGGGTACGGAGTATAGCTGCCAGAAACAATTCGGTTGCCTTATATTAGGTTGAGCAATATTTATCCGTCGTTTTCATTTCACTTATAAGTTTATTAACAAAACCAAACAAAAACAACAATAAGTGCGTAATTCAACAAACGCTCTCGAACAGTCCTCTCTGCAACCGTGCCTTCATCCCAGGCTTCATTGATTCTACGAGCAGATGCAGAAGCATTCGGTTTCGAGCTCAACTTGCACTCATGTAGCAGGGGCTATATTTTTGCCAGTGTGTAAGCTCCATAGTGAAGTAAATACACAAGTGTTACGCATGAAAATGTACAACAGGTTGAGCGCTTTCAGACTGTATCACAAATCATTGAGAATAAGAAGCAAAAAATCTAAAAAACATAAGCCTGGAAAAAACAGCGGGAATTATTACTCAACCTAATAAGTTCCTCCGAGAGTCGTCCGCTAAGGAGGCACTCGTCATACGTCAAAAGAAGAAGGTTCTTACTAAACTTCAGTTTGTTCCCATTCTTGCTATAGCTCCTGTATCGAGTGCGATTTGTCAGTCAATAACCTGCCTTATAACCCCTCATTCCAAAACGAGCAACTGTTCCATGATGCCAGCAAGGTGAATTGTTATCTAGATACTAGGTATTAATACACAGCACATTCTCAGATCGGTCGCGGGAGGAATCTAACCTGTGGGTAGTACAAGCCCACATTATCATATATGTTTTGCGGCTCGAAAATAAATACTTGACAGAGGCGCTAGGATCTTACAGAGTTATCTGATGGCAGCTAATGTACGCTCACCGACGAGATACCTTTCCGTGATACGCAGCGCCATAGTGGCTAATTCAACTACGCAAAGGTCACTGAAGCCATGGAGCAAGCAAGACAACTCGTCCGCACGTGCCCCTTCTCGTTAATGGCTTCATCAGCGATTTGCTTTGGTTTTTCTTCGGTCAGTTCGGCATCCAGAATTTTATCGACCACTGTTACCCCATCTGAAGTTGTTTCGTTAAGGTGAAAAGTGACGATTTTAACGTTTCACACTACGAGTCATCACCAGAAGACGACTAGTACTCACCTTGGGAGATTATAGGCAAGTTCTGTCGTCAACTGCTGCGTTGGAATCAAATACTTAACCTCCATTAATTTTAGAAACTCTAGAAAACATCGGATATGGTAAAATTTATAGCGAACTGACGATAAAATGTACCGTGAGATTTATTTTCTGCTTTGTCGACGTAGATGATGAGCAGCGATTCTTTAGAAGCTTTATTTTGCTTGAAAACCTGAAAAGGCACCAAAAACATCAAAACAAACCCCTCACTGCGTGAAGACAGGATTACACTGTTACACCAGCATTAAATCATGTGGATTAATACATGCTTGAGCAAGATAGAACTGTGCACACGGGTCGCTGGCGCTTGGTTATGAGGCTCAAAAGCGGGCGAATGGGGTGTTAGGACCTTACGAATTAAACATTTCAGCATTCCTGAAACATATGTGAGCAAATGGACGAGATTCGTGCTCGCAACCAACAAATAACGTTGGTTACGACATAGCGGCTAACAAAGTTTCAAGATGAGCTAATAAGATGAAAGTAATCGATACGGCTATGATAGAAAACCTCGTGTGGACACACCCTTCCTCATTTCTAGATGGAACAGCGCTCAAAGGGGGGAGATTCATGTTAAAGGCAATGATCACGATGGCAGAAGAGCGGTGCGGTCCGACCTCATTGAGGCCGATGTCATAGTTTGCGAATCGAGCGATCTCGATCCGAGCGTTGCGCCAGCGAATCGAACGTTGCACCAGCGAATCGAACGATGCACCAGCGAGTCGAACTAGGTACCAGCGACTCAATAGTGGCGGGACCCAACGTTCAAAGGAAGCCCGCCACTTTCAAACAGTGTCACGTGACAGTGGACCCTTTTGAAAGTGGCGGGACTTGAAAGTGGGGCTTCCTTTGAACGTTGGGTCCCGCCACTATTGAGTCGCTGGTACCATAGTTCGACTCGCTGGTGCAAAGTTCGATTCGCTGGTGCAACGTTCGATTCGCAAACTATGACATCGGCCTGACGGTTGTTGGCGGATAGGGGTTAATAGGCAATTGTAGCCAAATCTCCAGCTTACGAGTCTCCACCCATGACATTCAACAACGTCATCAAAACCACACCGCCCTCCATCCATCGTGATCACGCCTCCAGAGGCGTCGTCAGCGCTTTCCCTTCCATTTGCATTGTTTTTAGTCAGCTCCGTACCCTGACCTTCATTATCGACTACAATTATCTCACATGCTCCACGCTAGGTTTTTGCTTTGAGAGAATTGAATTGAAGTAAAAAAAAAACAGTGCAATTTCACCTCTTCAAGTCTGCATTCCGTTTCAGATGAATCCCTACAATTCACGAGGACAAATTCAATGTTGCCACATTGAATACCTTTGCTACTGATTGTCCTTTCCAAGGGCTCTCTAATAATTCTGTAAAGAGAATTAATATTAAAATCGCAGGAAACTTCGCTTTTTCAGTCAACTTAAACAGATTTCACACAGAAGATAAGCAAGTAGATGGCCTACTCAGGCAGGCGTCGATCACTGAGAACAATAATCATTCGGTCGACTTTGCCGCCTTCGACGTATCTGATATCAAATCTTTCTCGCCAGTTATACTGAAACAAATATTTCTCATGATAATGTTACAGCTTAAAAAAGATTCACATAAGACTCGAAGATTTCGATTTTAAATGGAACGTGCACCCGCCATTGAGGCTAACCGAAATAGTAAAAAGGGTAGTTTTAACAAGATGTGGGTGTGAAATATTGACCCGTTTATTTGTCCGGGAAACTGAAGCTACCACCAGTCAAAGTACTGTAAGCTGCGCCCACCGCTACATCAACAGCGGCGCTGGGTGAGAGGGTCAATGTGTTCAACTAAATTAGCCGCTGTAAATTGAAGGATGCAACGATACTAAGAGGAGCGCATCGGGAAGTATATGCGCCACATGAAGCGGTTACATGGCTGCCAATGAAGCGAGGTGCGGCGAGCAGGATCTCGAAAGCATTCCGCCCTAAAAGCGATCTGCCTCCTAGCTTAGTTAGTGATTTGGACGAACTGTGTTGCCAACAGCGGCACGACTAGAGCAACTCGGGTGTATGTACTTAGTTTGAAGCTGCTAGAGCTGAGTACGGTAGCGTAATTAGCGGATTACTGTAGCGCACGGCAGGTCACTTCGCACATTCCCAAAATAGCCTGTGGGATGACCCCACTTAATTGCCTGCGCTGGATGCTGACATTTCTTGGCAGCTTCAAAATAAGCAAAACGAAGTGTGTGGAATAATATCAGAGTGAATTAGTGTTTTGAACTATAAATTTTTGAATATCAAATGAAACTTTATTAATACCATACAAATTACTAAAAACGAAGGTGGAAACAAAACTAAAAATGAACATGATTGCTAGTATAAATATACATATTCAACAATTATATTGCTTTATTAGTAACGTATTTTGACATTTTTCTGCAAAAGTGCTCCACTTCTTCTCGTGTCACCCCATTTTGGTAGCATGCGTCAAATATGAAACAAAGAGTGCTAGTTTGTATCTATATGATTCTTTTCTCTATAATACCCACTTTTCCATTTCTTCTACAACTTTTACTCTTACTCAAATGGCCTTTGAATTGGGTGTCGGGTCTGTGAGGCCAAAAGAAAAAAGAGGAACCGCCATAAACATGTGCGAAAGGCTATGCCCTATTAGTAATTTGCCTCCAGGCGAGTGATAAGGTGTGTGTTTGATGTCGTATTCACTTTATACAAAAAGTAGGTGAGCAAAGGTCAGCTGTTGGCACAAACTATTAGGTCGGTCCACAATTTTTGAGAACCTTTGGTGTTTTTCGATTTATTACTTATCTTATTTCTCTGATCTACTTATCCAGCATAGTATACATCATTATTATTAACAACATATCGCCAATGCGAGGGTGGGTATTCAGTGCCTCTCTTGTGGACTTTCATAGAGTTCTGATCGAAGGAAAATTGTAGTCCCGAATCAGTTCTCAACCCAATCTGACATCATCAAGTTCCTGTTGGTTTCCCATAGTTCCTTCGGATGACCATCTATAATACTCATTGGTGATGTGGACTGGGTGCAGTGTGCTAACAAATCCACGAGCCGCAGTAGATTTGCTCAAACGATTCGGGAGTTCTGACAGTAAAAACCCAACTCCCTCTGAATTCGAACTTCCTGAGTCGTTGGCGCAATACGGGAGGGCCTTTGCGCTGAAGACCGGCATCAACTAATACCAGTGTCAGTGATGGGAAGAATCGTTGACAGCTTGATGGCAACGCCTTCAACTTGAAAGCAAAGGAAGACAAAATCTATTTTTTCTGAGGTCGTTCGAGCCCGCCTTGCTAAGAAAATTCCTAAAAAATTGGAGACTCTCGGGCGGTCAGTTCTTTTAGCTCCGCCTTGTAGCACTAATCCTGCGTCAACGAACGACTATCCGCTCTCCTCTCTCAATCACCTTCTGGAGAAGAAATCTCACTTGAATCACCATAAAGTCAAAATCGACATCCAATATTTCTTCGATCAGAACTCTATGAAATTCTACAAGAGAGACACTGAATACCCACCCTCGCATTGGTTATATGTTGGTAATAATGGTGATGTATACTATGCTGAATAAATACATCAGAGAAATAAGATAAGTAATTAAATCGAAAAACACCAAAGGTTCTCAAAAATTATGGACCGACCTAATATTTATATTTGCTATATTTATATATAGCAATCATGTACATTTCTAGTTTTGTTTCCACCTTCGTTTTTAGTAATTTGTATGGTATTAATAAAGTTTCATTTGATATTCAAAAATTTATAGTTCAAAACACTAATTCACTCTGATATTATTCCACACACTTCGTTTTGCTTATTTTGAAGCTGCCAAGAAATGTCAGCATCCAGCGCAGGCAATTAAGTGGGGTCATCCCACAGGCTATTTTGGGAATGTGCGAAGTGACCTGCCGTGCGCTACAGTAATCCGCTAATTACGCTACCGTACTCAGCTCTAGCAACTTCAAACTAAGTATCGCCACCCGAGCAACTCGACTGAAGCTATGAATTGTCATGGTGTTACCAAACGCGTTGCAGTAAACTCGTCCATACGTCCCCTGTCCTAGCCACTGCCAATTCTTGAGTGAAGGTCAAAGGCATAATAAGGGAATCCCTTTTCGCATTTCATGACGGGTTTCTCTGCTTTGTTCGCAATTTGCGTGCCAATGTGCACCCCCACGTCCCCTGTAAATCCCTTTAGAACTATCGTAATTACTGCCTTCAACGAACCTTTGCTTTATCGATCAAACATGTCTTTTTGCCACCATATGAGATCTGCGGCGCCTGTCGACGGAATCCTTCCACAGTCTTCGGCAAGGTGGATATTGTAACTCCGAACCTTAACGCAATATTCCTTGCAGCAAAATTTTTGCTATAAATACTGCACACTAGAACTTACGCTTTCAAAAACTCGTTCCGCGATGCATTACCGTGAAGATTTAGTGCTTCGAGTAGACCATGAATATTCTTGAATCTGATATCTGGCTTGTCAGCTCTTCTTGTCTGAATACGTAGGTTATCCCATAAGTAGTGTTTTTCATGGAAATTTTCTAGTGAAATTCTGAGTGCTTGCGGCATTCCATGTCCCTTTCGAACCAATCGACCAAAGTATAACCAGTATCATAATTACCGATAGGCATCCATTCGCCAGGGAACCTTTGGGCGAGTTATCTTTGCAATGTGAGGCCGAGCATCCATTCGGAGAAAGGGGTACGTTTAGCATGATTTTCCCCCTCTACTGTGGCCAACCCTGGGAGCGGACAATACTTGTCCGCATATATTTCTTGTTTTTTATGTTTTTAGTTTTATTCTTTGAGCATTGGATTCTTTGTTCCAGTCCTTGATTTTCTGTCGACTACTGACCAACTCAGTTATTCTGAAGCAGGATTGACCTTCCAAAATGTCCTGGCTAACGGTCTAGATGCACTCTTTGACATACCAACATATTTCGCAATGACACTAATTCGACTTGGAAGAATTTGAATTCTGATCAAAAATTGGTCAGGAATGATCAAGCCAATAGATTCATTGCAGAGATTTGGAACTCTGCAGCTTACTGAGGGGCGCAGTCGACGAAGACTAGCCGAATCGACAACTAGCTCTAGCTCTATTTTCCTCAGGAGAAATTGGGAGTATATATTTGTACGTGCACACATTTATAACTTGCGGCACCACCACAATCTGACAAGGGAAGGTATACCAGGTCGAAGTGGCCATTTGTAACGAGACATACACCACTAGATGTGTTTTTGGACGCTGATCTCGAATCTGCTCTCCAAATCTGCGAAACGATTCTCTGAACGTAGTTATGAAGCGAGATAGTGCAGTGGCAGCGGGGGCCGACGACAAGAGGTCGTGAGATCGACTTCTTGGCGAGTTCTCACTTTTGCTTTTCTTGAAACATTGTTTAAAGGAACTTTTATCCATGCTAAGTCATCAGCGATTGCCTATCATACAAGTGGAAAGAGCTGGCGAAGTGCTTCGAACACTGTGCGCGTCATTTGCAAATGACCGTCTCTGGCACCCGTAGCGCATGCGTCATGCACTTTCTTGCCAAATAGATGTGATTTTCGTGTTCAGCGCATCAAACTACGACAACTTTTGGTCCAAATCCAAAATTTTGACCTAAAGTCGAAAATGTGGGCACACACGACCGACAGGACACGGCAAATGACGCGCACAGTGTTCGAAGCTCTTTGCCAGCTCTTCTAGGATAGGCAGTCGCTGATGATTTAGCATGCATAAGAGTCCTTTGAACAATGTTTCAAGAAAAGCAGCTGAGAACTCGCCAAGAAGTCGATCTCACGACCTCTTGCTCGTCGGCCCGGGCCGCTGCCACTGCACTATCTCGCTTCATAACTACGTTCAGAGAATCGTTTCGCAGATTTGGAGAGCAGATTCGAGATCAGCGTCCAAAAACACATCTAGTGGTGTATGTCTCGTTACAAATGGCCACTTCGACCTGGTATCCTTCCCTTGGGAGACGGATTCATCAGACCAAATGAAAAATATTCAGTGAATTGAATCCAGGTGACTCATCGAATACCTTCAGTGGAAGTGATGCGATGGCAAGGGCATCCCTACCACACACACTCCGGGGATCAAAACTTATGTCTTACGGCGCCCAAGCAAAAAGGCCTCCTAACCATCCGGAACTGCGGAATGGTACCAGAAACGCCTGAGACAATAGAAACACTGGAGTGTACATCGGCTGGCTACCGAAACCATCGTCAAATCGACTCAATCACCACTACAACTTCGAGTGGAAGGAGATGCTTGGTGCATCTCAAAAGGAGTTGGTTGAACAGGATCCTCTCCCCTTTTCCATTTTTAAATGAGATCCGAAGAAGAAGAATCTGCTACACCTACAAAGCAGAAGAGAGGAAAACTTGATGAATGCATGGAAATTCGATGCATTAACCACCACGCCCTGAATAATATCGAGTGTTACCTTACAAAGCAATCTCTTACGTTTCGAACGACTGCTTGTGTTGTTTTCTCTAAGGGCAGTACCTACTGGGCCGCATTTATACTCAACGTTGTTGAATACAAGGAAATTAATGAATAGGAAGGTTAAAAACTAGGAGATTCAACTGAGAAGGCAAAGTATACTGATCGGGGAAACACGAGGCAGATGAAGAGGAATCTAGATGAGAGTAAAACATACAGCACGTATCTAATCCTTTCGGCGGAATCTCCTAATATCGACGTTTCCTGACTTCCTACCTTCTCGTCAATCAATAGATATCTTTTTCATTTTCTTCTGATCATCTATTTCCCAAAACGTAGGGTATGAATGCGACTTCGTAATTCTACTATTGATAATCCAAGCAATAGTTTATGATTACAATAGAAATAATTTCCATAAATTTATACGATCTGCAATAAAAACAAATCTACTTACCGATTTAGCGTTTATCTGCTTCTCCAATGACACTCTTTGATTAGGATCCACTTTGAGTAACTCCATGGGGAAGTACTGGATTTTACCTTTTACTCGCCACAGCACCGCTGGCCAATAAGGATTGATGTCCACTTTTGTGTCCGAGAACTTCGTCAGTATGCTTACTTCAGTTCTGGCACTGGAGAAAAAACCATGACTTAGGTCTACGACAATAAGGCTAACACAAAAAGTCATCATATACTTGATGGGTAAATCATTCGAATTATGCTCTCACTTGTTTGGAAGCACGTCTTTGAGATCTTTAATGGGCTTCTTGCTTATCCCGATGGCTACGAAGCTGATTGGGTTTGATGCAGTACCCATGTACGTCATGCGCACACCTGAACTAACTATATTGACAATACTATAGGCATTTTCCATTATACAAAGACGGCACTATTCAACTACTACAACTCCAAAATCTCAAAATTTTATTCCATGGAGTTATTCGATGCCCTGATTACGAAAATGACATTCATTTTTGACGTTGGCGCCATTTGGCGCCAGGGCTATTTTCACCAAATTCGCTGTAAACTTGTATATAGGGGTTATTTGGGGTCCTGATTCACGAATATAACATTCATTTTTCCGCTAGCGCCTGTGGCGCCTGTTTTCCGCTCGTCTGCGCCCTCTCACTGATCAGCTCGCGATCGGGACTAAGCCTTTGAGGAGGGGAGTGCTCCGAAGTGAATAACACTTATCCTGTGATCTTATACGCTTTAACATTTGCCACATGTTGACTGGTTCACCCACCCCGGAGTCCTCCCTCCTTCTAGGCTTAGTCCTAGGTATTATGTACAAGTGAGAGGGCCCAGGAAAATGGAAAATGTGCGTTGAACGGTGGAAATGCTAAAAACGAATGACATATCCGTAATCAGGACCTAAATAACCCCTGTATACAAGTTTACAGCGAATTTGGTGAAAATAGCCCTGGCGCCAAATGGCGCCAACGCCAAAAATGAATGTCATTTTCGTAATCAGGGCATCGAATAACCCCTATGGGCGAAGTTTCGACGAAACTAAAATTTTGAGATTTGGGGTTGTAATAGTTGAATAGTGCCTACAAAGACAAACACCGTAGGATATGAAGAGGCTTGAGATTTCGGAGCGCGGATACTGAGCGTGATAAGAGCGTGATAAGAGCTAAGATTTTCATCAAAGGTAACTACACAATGGCTTCAAGTGAATCGCCTATTTTGATGGGCATGATGAAGCTGTCTACGAAGGCCGCAGATGTGCTACCTTCGCGATTACGCAGTTGCAGCCAGGGCGCTAAAAGATCTTCTAGCCCTCAAAAGAAAAACACTATGTCCGCACAGCCGGAGTCAACCAATGCCTTTGCAAATTTCAAAAAGCTTACGATTCCCTTTTGAGAGGGAATCGTAAACTCTTTGAATTCAATCCACTTCTTTCTCAGCCGACCAAAGACGATCCCGAGCCCCTGAGCTTACGAATCCCCACGCCCCTTCATGCAAATTGTCTGAGCGGACGGTTTACCCTGCGCATAGCCGCACAACTCGTCTTCAGCGACTCTGTCTGTCGCCTCCTCTTATTTTAATGCTGCCTCGTTCCCAAATCCCCTGCTCTCTTAACATACAGCGTCTCTTATTGCTTGATTATTGTGCCAACTAGAAATCGGGGTGTTAAATAAACAATTGGGGAGCAAATGTTTTTTCAACTGAGGAACCAACTTGATATCAACTCCCACTCAGGTATTAGTACAGTGCGTACCAAAAGTATGTGGACACCCTGGAATCGATTCTCAGGGGTCAGCTAAAGGCTTTTATGTCATGAAACCTTCCACCATTCAACTCCTAGTGGTCGATAACCTACAATGATATTTTCGGCAAAAGATTTCGTTCTAACTTAGCGAACTATTTTTCATGGAAAGTTTTTTCTTTGTATCAAAATTATGTGGACACTTTTTGAAAAACGGCAATATCTTCAGAATCTGAAATCGGTAGGCCTACCAAAGTTTCTAGTAAGTTGAGCCATTCTGTTTGGCATGCTATGAATGGGGTCTGGATACATGTCTTGCAGATCTGTTCCCAACTAGCAAATTTCACCGACGTGTTAGGTCACTTGTGATATTACTCTTTTGTTCAATGACGTAGAGACCGCGAACCACGATACCTCTACGTTTTCAATAAGGATGAAGTCTGAGGAATACGCTAGCCGACTTGCCAATCAAAGCCGTTGCGTTTAGCATTTTTCCAAATGGAATGGTGTCAGGGACCTCCCCTGCAAAACAAGTGATTTGCGACCATGACTTTTCGAAAAAGGTTGTAGCCGGGACTCAAGCACCTCATTATAATCCTAGTCGTCTACCTGACATGTTGGCAAGCCAAACTTCAATGTCCCCTCCTTTTGGAACCACCCCAGACCTTTGATGAACATCTTCCGAATTGTCTCTTCGAGCACATCTGCGGGTCCGACCAAAGTCTCTCCAAAAACCTCAAGACCCACCCGAATAGTAAGGAATAAGCTTCTTTCTGCCAGTCGAGTTGGTCTATGAGAGAAATTTCCACAGAAAGTCTTTTATACTAATTTTACCATTTCCACGAAAGCACTGTCTGTGTGGGTTCAAAGTATCATGTTGTGATCCTTTTTTGAGTGGGAATTCCAACCTTGCCAACCTGAACCCGCATTCATATACAAAGCCTTCTTCATCTTCTTTCGTGTCGTGTGCTCAATTGATTGAATGAGACACCGATTGGTCTTTTTTAAGATCGGGAAGATCATTTATGCGTAAAGTTGAGTAGTACGAAAAGAATAATTTGAGAAAATTAAGGCTATTCTTCTCCTGTTTTGAACAAGTAGCGATTGAGAACAACCCTCAGTCAAGGTCGAGAGCTTAGCATCAGGATTTCGGATTTCTCTCCAAACCTACGAGGACGCATGACTGGTTGACGTGCTATTTCGCAATAGGAAGGTTCAGAAGCATGGGGATCCCATTTCTGTGCTCGGTCTTCTTCAGAAAAACGCTTGCCGTGAAGAGGAATGATGCCAGAATAAGTAACGAAAGGAGAAGTAAAAATAGGTTAGGAAATCGATGCAAAAACTTCATCTGCCTCAGGGTGTCCACATAATTTTGATACAAAGAAAAAACTTTCCATGAAAAATAGTTCGCTAAGTTAGAACGAAATCTTTTGCCGAAAATGTCATTGTAGGTTATCGACCACTAGGAGTTGAATGGTGAAGGTTTCATAACACAAAAAGCCTTTAGCTGACTCCTGAGAATCGATTCTAGGGTGTCCACATACTTTTGGTACGCACTGTATATTATACTGTTTCGGAAGCCGAGAATGGCGTCGAGTGCAGACCACACACCACAAGTGACGACGGCCAAGAAAAAAAACCGCTTTTTCTTGGCCGTCGTCACTTGTGGTGTGTGGTCTGCACTCGACGCTCTTCTCGTCTTCTGGAATAGAGGATAAGATGCTGTGGTAAACGCGTTTTCGACTCTACTATTCGACACTTAACTTGACTGCGTGGCGGTTTTCAAGACTTGAGCAGGAAGGTTCATGCTTGTTCTATGATACTTCTAAATCACAGACCTTTCACATATTCATTGACTTCATTCCACCTGCGATTCATGCCCCTATTGCTTTCACTGAAATCGAAATAATCCACATTTCGAAGCCCATCCATTTCGCGGACACTTTTCATCAAGTTCTGATTTTTGAAAAACAGCCCCACACGATCTGGAAAACCATTGATCACAGAACAATTTTTTGAGCAACTTGCGATTCAGTCGTTTACTAGAGAAGGACAAAAACGAATACTAACGATCGAGTATCATGGCTGCGGCAACACCGCCGGGTTGATTACGCCTTCCTTCAATAAATCTGAAAAAGAGTTCAAGCCAATTTTGTTCTCAATTTCAGACAAAAATGGCACCGTTACTGCCGAAAGATTCGTTAAAATGGTAGAACAGCCAATATAAAAGAAAGGAGCAATTAGGCAGTGGCAACATTACACTTCCATCCTATGAAAAATTTTCAAAAAAATTTCAAAAAGACTTGATGAGATTTATATGGGAAAAAATCAAAACCATGCTTACTTAATCCCTTTGTGCGCACCGAAAATCCTTTCAAAACCGTGACCAACATTTTCTGAAGTTGCTCGACTGTACAGGGACCCAGCGCCAAACTGAGTAAAGCGGCCTCTGAAAAAAACCTTTGTTTAAAAATCCCCTATCGTTCAAATTTACTAAAAAGGAATCGACACAAACGCAGTTATCATGGTTCTAAGCTACAATGCAACAACTGAAAACCTTCAATCGAAATTCCGCAAAAAACGAAGGGTACTTTGTACGACAGCTTAATTAGCCACTACAAATAGGAGTAAATAGAGCCAAGTATAAAAACTGTGAAGTATTGGGCAATTAAAACGGGACGTGTGAATTGAAGAGAGGGCAATCAGTTTCAAAGAGATCTATAACAGTATGAATATACCTAATGGTCGCATCTTGGCTGGTGAGCAGTTCGTAGAACTGCTTCCAAGATCGGTCGAGTATGGCCCAATTGCGATTTTTCTGAAAAAGGATAACATCGAATTCCGCAGATTACCAAAAATTTTCCATCAATAGAACTTCCCTAACGAATTTTTTCGAAACGAATTTACACAGATTACAGTGCACTCTAATTTGTCCTTTAAGGGAGTTAAATTATTAAACAACCGTAATCACACAATGCGTAATAAACTTCTTTGGCGCAATCTAGAGCCTAGGTAAATTTCACGAGTATGCTACAGTTCTCCCGCTCAGGTCAGGTCACCTCAGCTTAGTACACCTCCGATATGCTAGTGAATTCAGGCCAACGCCACGCGTAGGCATGAGTCAATGTGAAAGCACAAATAAGCATTACCCTAAGCCTAAACCTAACCACAGGCCTTAGTAGCCGCGCAGCTCTGATGACCTGACCTGGGAGGAAAACTGAACGTCTCCCAAATTTCACACAGACCATCACTTCTCTGCAAACGGCTACAGACTCCCATTGCTGTAATAACCTGAAGGAGACCTACATGAGATGAACGAGAATACTAAGAAAAAACTCAAATGGCATGATATTGTCATATTGGGACACGATAAACGTTAAAATAACGTGTAACAAATATGTAATGGCAAAACATTCATAGTTGATAAACCCTTCATTGAATGACCCATTCATTCAACTGACATTAAGATTCGGTTTAGATGCGATGTGGCCTATACAATGGCTTACGGAGATCAGCCAACTACTTACTGCATTACTCCTCACAACTGACAAGGAATGCCCCTCAGGTCATCATGGCCATTCACTATGAGATGCACCCTCATACGCATCCTGAAACGCTCGCCTCAATTCTGCCTTTAAAATCTGCCAAACGAACGAACGGAAACACGACGGAGTTCATCTCTGTGCAGTCTTAGACATAATTCACTCGAGATTTTAGTAGATGCGGGGTAGGGCGCAGTTGCTAGCGAAGCAAATTTGAACGCGTGAGCTCAAGGGATCGATTCCGTGCGATGCCTACATTTTGTTTTTTTTTTCTGTAGAATGGATTGAAGGCTTTATAGATCTTGCTCAATCAATGATATATTTAGATCACGTGTATGATGATTCTGCGCACAATTCTAAACATGTTCGGGCTGTATTCGCCCATGATGGTCATGACAATATCTCTAGTAACAAATTCCTAACCAGATCCGAGAATTTGACCCAACACCGAAGAAATGAGGCAGCTGTCGATATTATCCCCTAACCCGTATTATTGAGGCTTATCATTGACGAATGCGAGAGTTTATTTGAAAACTAGGTTTGCTCCGCCCGCTATCGCGCGCATCACAGGGTAGGGAGGAACCACGGAATAGCAGCATGACGTACTCCATTAACCACCTCACTATTGAATGTGTTATACCTCCTTATACCCCTTCTCTCCGGCGCATGGCAGCACCATGTTCCCCTCCCTTTCTCCTCTCCCCCCACTCCCCCTCCTCTCTACCCCCCCCCCTCCCTTCTGGTTCCCCTCTCCCTCTACTGCCGCCGGCTGCCCCGGCAGCACCATGTAGAATGAGGCTGTGTGCTCGTTCGGTGTTTTTGTAGCCATTGTGGGTGTTATCACAATCACCACATCAGGTTAGAATAATACGTCAACATGATAGACCTTACTCTTGAAAACGGTCGTTCTCACTCAGTCTCTCCTCCCCCACCTCCCCCTCCTTATCTCGGTCGGCGCATGACAGCGTTCTCCCTCCCTTTCTCCTCTCCCCCTTCCCTCCCTCTTTCTCTCTCCCCCCTCCCTTCCAGCCTCCCCTTTCTTGCCCCCTTCCCTCTACCCCCTCCCCCTCCCTCCCCCCGCTCATCCGGCTGCCACGGCAGCACCATGTAGAATGAGACTGAGTGTGCTCGATCGGTGTTTATATAGCCGCTGTGGGTGTTATCATGATCATGACATCAACATCACGAAGTGTTGCCCTTCGTACTCCCTGGTTTTGTGAGCGGTTGGTCCGGACGGACAGAACGACACACGCACACACGCACACACACACACACACCGACAAACCGACACACCAAAGTTCTGCTTCATATAATGAAGTGATAATGCCATAAGAGTTCCGTAATGGTGTCACCAGGCTGGCCAGACACTATTTTTCCTTTTCAACTGTACAGCTAATTGTAGGAGGTTAGTTTTATCCCAAAACCTGCACTAGCTGATAGATGGTTGAAACGCGGCCCAGCTTTTCCAAGTTGGGTCAAAATTTCGGTACTGCCTGCAAAATCGCCTCTAGTGGTACTTTGACTTCCTGAACACAAATATCTTACTCGTTTGGCGCGAAAGCGCCTGGAGCGTGCGTTAGGGCACTGCCAGCAGTCATCCAAATGGTCATCGTGAGCTCATCTTACGGATTATTACAGACAAATACTGATAAAGTCACATGCGCAAGAGTGGTTTTGGAAACGTGGCGAAAAAAGGAATGAATTCCATGTTCGGTCTTCTTGAAATCTGAGCATTTCAATATTGTGTGTTTCTTCTTGTGCCGTACAGGTTGTTATGGTGGAACACGTTTATTGGTCAACGTTTCGACAAACCGTCGTCTTCAGGACCTGAAACTGGTTCGAAGTTCTAGCTTTGGAGTCACCTGGTGGAGCGTCTCATCTTTAAGTTCCCCGTAAATCAAAACAAGACTAACAAAACAGCTGGGATCTCTCCTTTGTTTTGTTTTGAATTACGGGGAACTTAACCCATAACGGACGGCGTGCGCCACAAGGTGGCGCACGACTATTTCTTTTGTTTTTGGAATGTTTCTAGCAATCTTAATATACCCATATATACTCTCAGCAATGTGGAATAACATATCTTCCCAGGACCTGGACGGCTGGATTTTTGACAAACCTACAATAAATTTTACATACATTTTGTCTTAATTTATTATTTGATGGGTGGCTTACCCATGGTTCGCACGTCCCGAGACCCCTTCCCCTAAATATAGCCACATCCTTGCTCGGGGTTGTTGTTTCGCATTTTTCGATAATGTCACCTACAGCTTCCATTCATTCTTTGCACCCTAGTTTTAGAGCGGAAAGGCGGGTTACGAACTTGTCGTCAACGGAAATCTCTTTTTTGGATGATGAGACTCCGACACCTACTTTAGCCCCGTCTTACCCCTGCTGTTCGCATAAGCCTACATAAACCCTACCCTGGGTGGCGGCGTGCGCCACATGGTGGCGCACGCAACAAATACACTGGCCGTCCGTTATGGGTTAAAGATTAGCGCTTCATTGGGCGAGTATAAAGCTAGAACTTCGAACCAGTTCTAGTTCTGAACACGACGATTTGTCGAAACGTCGACCAATAAACTTGTTCCTCCATAAAAACCTGTGCGGCACAGAAGAAGATACACGCAAAGGAATGAACTTGCAGAGAAACCGATCCCATAAGCCATTGCTCAGGTTCGCTTTCACTGCGCTTTTCTGCTTGATATCTCCGTTCATAGAATTTAGCAGATTTGGAATGCAGATTTGAAATCAGCGTGCCAAGATGCATGTAGGGGAATACATATCATATTGAGTGGTCATGGCGACCTGAAGGACTTTCCTTGAGAGTCTAACAACTGACCAACGGAGGAATGAAAGGCTTGGTTGACCTGGCCGGGACTCGCCCCTTGCATTAATTCAGAATGGCGCCATTTGTCTCCACTCTACTTCCACCGAAAGGTGGTAGTTTTATGGTGGATATCGACCAAAACCAATACAACACTACAGGTCAAAGTGGTGCGGAGTCTAGCATCATCAAACTAATTCTTGAAGGAATTATTGAAGGAATCCCGAAAATTCTTCCTTCTCAATAGTATAAACGGTCAGTTGCGACCGCTAGACAGCACGCAAAGCATGCGTGAAGCTTCTGTTGTCGAAGACAAACAAACTCACGGAAACCACACTACGACAATCGAAGGCAAGTTGCGCGGAGCCAAAGGCGGGATGAAAAATGGACGGCCTTGCGGCGGCTACATTAGTCGACGCAATGAAAGAATTCGGTTAAAACGCTCGATTTTGGAAAATAGGGACAAGACAATCGTGTTGAAAATAGAAAGTGATGCAGTAGAAGTGTGGGATGCCAGTGCAATAAGTAAAAAGGTCAAAAAATGTTCCTAGCGACAGCACTCCGTGAACAAATGGAAGCGTTCCCACCGCCAGCATTTGTGACAGATGTGCTGCAGGAATTTGGACGCGTAGCAGTCCTTTCGCTTTTTCCAATTAGCCAGTAATTTATGGCTGAGATAGAATCATGATTCTCCGGGAAGGATTCCTTTAACACAGTTTTGACAAATATGGTAGATATAATGAAAACAACTACTTCTTCTCCAGCAGTAGGTGCCGATGTAGCACTCCTGGCGAAGTACTCCATGGAAGGGGGGGGCGGGGGGAACCGGGGGGGTATCAACGTTCGCGCTTCAAGATGCTTCTTGGGCTGTATGGTGTCTTACCCCAAGGGGTTGCGGGACGAAAATACCTTTCAATTTTCTCTGTCTTCCAACCGAAATTGTCCTGATAAAGGGCGTACATTAATGTATGTATGTAGGAATAAAGTAAACATGCACTGAAAATGAAGAAACTATATCGATAAAAACAAATATATTTAGAGGAAACTTTGGATCACCCTGTTTTGAGAAGGACAGCATATGGCCTGTTTCTGCAAATGCACTGCACCCGGGTACGAGGGACCAAGTAAAGTCCATATCTCGTAGTCTGATTGGGCGTGTCACCGGAAATGACGTGGCAGCCTCCCACACTTGATAGAAGTTGCGCGGATAAGCTGCTTCCAACACGCTTTGCTGATATGTGGCGGAGTATTTTATCCACACGACATCTATCAAGTGCGGTGGCCTGCCACGTCATTTCCGGTGACATGCCCAATCAGACTTCGAGAATGTGAACTTGTATAAATTAAGAGCCGAGTAGATTACTCGATAAAGTGCGTATGCAGCGTGGAAGTACATGCACCATTGGAAGCAGTAGTCAGGGGCCCAAGGAAACGAAATGTTGCGTTTTTGTGGTCAAAGGTGCGCTAGT